CTTTCCCTCCGTCTTTTTGTTCTCCGGTCCCGGTTTTCTTCCAGCTCCTTTGCCGTGGTCCAACGTCAACCGCTCCTGGAACCGCTTCAACACTTTGGAGACGGTTGAATGGTGAATGTTCAACATTTTTCCCAACTGCCGGTGCGACAGGTCAGGAAATTCCAGGTGTTTGGAAAGAATTTGTTCTCTCAACTTGCGTTGGTTCACCTCCATTTTCGTTGAATCGAAAAACACGACTTCGAGTTTGACAGCATGTACACAATACACATCAATGAGAAAGTGTGCAAAATTTGGTTGATTTTTACCCAATGGTAAAAAAGTTATGCCCTGTTGAATGTGTCGCAATAATTTCGTGTTCGCCCTTTATTTGATGACGGGATTAAAAATAAATGCTTCTTATGCATCGGATTAACTCCTGCCTAAGCCGAAGGCACAGAAGCTGTTAGTAAAGCAACAATAAGAAGAAAAATAAAAAGCAGGACAAAGAACAGATACATCGGTTGGAGTAGTGGCTGGAAACAAGGAAATAGAAGAAGTGGTAGTAGAGGTGATTTAGGAAAATGTAACGATCCTGGTCGAGGAAAACAGTGGGAAGGAAGAATGCACAGAAGCAGGAGCCACCTGTATTTAACAATCAAAATGATGCGTACTTCTACCAACCGGTGGAAACTAACGATTTTAAATTGGCTCACTACTTGACTAGCCTATTGGTCCCAAGCAAATCGATTAACTTACTCCATTCTAGTCAAAATTCTAGTAATACACTATGTTTGTTTTGATTCTCTATGAAAGTTTGACAGATAAAATGAGGGGTTAGTGGATTTTCCTATGTTTCGAGGGGTGAATCGATTAGCTTGGGACCGAAGATAGTACCAGAGCTGAGCCAAAAAGTTGAGCACGTTTCTTCGTGACCTGCTGGTCTTAGAGTTACCTCTATGCTTCTACCACCGACGAACTACTACTACATTTTTGGAATAGTAGACTGAAAAGGACCGGATCAAGGGGGACGACTCTATCTACGATGCAGGAAATATTGTGTTTGCTGTGGCTAGCTGCGCGTACGCTGAGTAGATAGAAAGAAGATTTATCACGATTTTGAAGATTTCTTGCAAAAAGATGATGCCGATGCAAGTAGATGCGAGAAATGAAAGAAGATTTTTTCGAAGATTCGCTAGTGTGAGATTTTTTGAGCATCTAGAATTGAGATTTAGATCTGTCGCCCCCTCGGACCGGATAAAGGTCGAAAAGCAGAAGGACAAGTGGCTTGCGATGGTGAAGCAAGAACGCATGGAAGAGATAAGGGAATCTCGGGCATGGGAGAAAGCAGAAGCAAAATTAGTTTGATTTTTATCCACTTCTGAGCTAGTTCATCACAAAAAAATAGAACTCAATGATTCTCACAAATATTTTTTCATATATAAAGTTATTCTATGTTACTCGACTCCAGGCAACCAAAAACGACCGAGTTACGAAAAGTGGTCAGGTTCTGACAATACCGGCAACCTGTGGGCAACTTGACAACTCCAGTATATTTCCAGTGTACCCCGATAATTTGGTTCTGGTGGTTCTGTCAAACTCACAAGTTTTCAGAAGTGTTATCTGAATAGGGCGAGTGCGGAAATGATGTATAGTAAATTAAATGCAAGTTAAAATTCATCTTATTGTCGCGCCCACCAAACCGGAACGCGCGTGTGGTACGTGAGTCCGTCGTTAAAATTAACATTAGCGACATAGGACGTCCAGTGATGTAAAGTCCTTTTAATTTTCAGTCGTATGCACAATTCATAATCAGTTTATGATTTTTTATGTAGTCTCGTATGTCTTTGAGCAGAACAGAACCAAAAGCTTAAACATATGATTTGTAAATCGGAAATATGTGATTGTCATCGAAATAAATGAGAATTGAACGAGAATACTTTCGGTGATTTCGACTAAAGTACTCTAGTAAAAGTATGGACGACTGTCATCACAAAACTGAAAAAAAAAGTTGATGATCAAAGAAAGAATGGGTTTTCAGCAAGTAAGAGCGCTCTTACTACAATATCCCCCCGCTAATCTGACAAATTTCTATTACTGCATAACGTACAATTTGAGTTACTAGCTTAAAAGAGTACAACGATAATACAAAGGTATACTTTGTACGTCTATCGAAGGCCAATTTCAGCCTCTCAAACCGTTTACTTTACTTACCTCATAAGAGAAACACGGGAAAGAAAACATGTTTGATTCATTCGACCCATGAGAAACCTTCATCGCACAACTATGTTCAAAGCAATAATCTGAAGGCTATTCTAATTCAAAAGCAAAATAGAACTGAAGAAACCAAAGTATTTTGATAAGATGAAACGCAATCAATCGGTTCAATTTGTATGGATTTATTTGATTTCTCCACGAAAATTCGCTCTTTTCATATGGCATTCTTGCCTGTTGTTTGACATCCACACATGGTGAAACACAAATTTTGCGGCACCGTTGCGGCGGTGAAGAACAATCCCTTTGTTTACGTTGTGTGGCGACACCTACTATTTGCAAGTGGGTAGATGAAACTAAGGTTATCTGTCATCTTGCCGGGCAATCGGTGTTAATTTTGATTTGTATAATGTTTAATAGTGAACTATTGAAAATTGATAAAGTGTTCATTTTTGCAGATTCGTAGAAATTTTTATACCAACCAAACGTGGTGGTCAAATGCGTAACAGTATTGAAGTGGTATATACAAATTCTCGACCGAATACCACATGACCTTTTCAATTAATCAGAAACACTTCAAATTGAGGTAAGGTGTTCTCTAGGACGCTAGAAAATGCAACAAAAAATCTCGAATTTATATGATGGATCGCGAATATCAAAGGAATGGAAAATACTAGCAAGAAATTCCTCCAATCAATTTTCGCTTTTTTATTATCTATTGAAAAAACCAAAAATTCCGCCTCGTGGAAGTGCAGAGGATTTCTCGGCTTCCATCAAAGTGAGTGTCACGTCAACACATTCCTACCCATTCCTTTCTTGACCTGCGTTCGGGCGCGGCCGGCGCTGGTATTGCCTAGTTTGAGATCACCAGTGTTTACACATTGAGGGTGATTGCTAGTCCCAAGCATCGTCTATTGGTTCTCTGTGTAAGTACAACTGATCTGGCAATAACAGAGTAGCAACCGTGGGCGGTCAATCATGCTCATGCTCTATTGAATTAACCAAAAAATCCGTGAGTTTTGTGCACGAAACGCATAATTTTGTCATCAGAAAACGAGGCGTTTCCGTGACGGGAAAAAGTGGTTTCCCTAATACAGTCGCCGAATATTGATACCGAGCACGTAATCCTACGTCGAATCTACGGTCGTTTCTTGGATACAACCTCTTACTTTTTTTTTAAACAGTAGAGCCTGACTGTTTAAAGCTGGATTGATCGTAAGATGGATCGAAACAAAGTTGCGTATCACCTGTACTACCACAGAAAGGAAAGGATTATTATGTCTCTGTTAAATAATGTATCAATACAATTGAAGTGAGAAAAAATGCAAAAGAAACAAGAACAGCCTAAGCGTTATTCATTAAGCTTTTTCTCCAGTGTGTATGAGATAGATGTGGAACATACTGCTTCAATCCACGCCGATTCCGGACTCTATGGTGCGTATGCGGCTTAACTCGCTCCGAGCTCTTCTAGCAGGCTCTATTTGAGAAAGTCAACCTATCTTCTCCGTGAATGTAGATGTAGGGACGTAACAAAGCAAAAGGCGAAGGAGAGAGATAGAACACATTGCTGAACGAACGGTATACGGCCGGTAATATAAATTAACATTACTCAAATGATCGATATGCGAAAAGCAGCGTGGTGGAAATGGAAGAACAGCGAAACAAAAAAAAAGTTACAGTAGCGAGAACAGCGAGAGAAGTCTGCTAGATTAATTGAGGACTTCATTGGATGATTGAACAACGGGATTTACATTACTACGCATACGCTCATGCGCTCATTGAACGAACTTGGTTTCGATCACATTCTATGCTTGTCGGCGTGATGCTGGTCTGCTGAACTGAATGCCTTAGCTGTAACATCAATTAGGTTCTGCAGCGTGACGTCACAAATGAACTCAGTGTTAAACGGCTGAACCTTTTTGACAGTTCAGTGGTACTGTTTACAAGCACTTAGTCGTTTTTTCGAAAAAAATATATTTTAAAATTTCCGAATTTTAACTTGAAAATTGTTGAGGAAATGCGTGGTGAAAGGATGTTGCTCGTGGACATTGCAAAAGTGTGGTTTACAGCTCACTGCAATCTGAAAAATGATCCAGAAAATCTACCCAAGAAAAAATCGACTAAGTCCACGTAAACAGTACCACTGAACTGTCATCAGATTGAGGTTAACCCCGACGGTGCAAAACCTAATTAAAATGGTTTAGTCAAGTCACTTTTAATCGCCTCAAGACAGCTGTGTCTACAACTCCTGGACTGGTGCTTCATTGAATTATATTTACAAGCTCAAATGTATCAAGAAAACGTGTCTGGCACAAGATAGACCATTGTCGTGTATTTGAAATTTCATTTAATTTGTGTATTCCGCGTGTGGCACATTTTCGCGCACAATGATAAGAATAGCCTGGAGAGAACCACCGGATGCTGCTTGCTTGCTCTATGAATACGTCATGAATTTAGATAGGGCACTCAGACACACGCGCACCCGAAACCGGTGAATGAGTTTATTCTGGTCGAAAATAATCATTAAATTATGTAATATACCAATTAAACTGATGAACAAATTATATTGTCATAAACGTACCCATATCGCTTCAATGGTTTCGACTGGTTTTTTTTACGATTCACTCAACTATACAAGAGAATCGTTGATTTAACGATTACGTGTGGCCGGAAAAAAACTGATACTTTCCCATTTGATGCGAAATATTAATTTTGCTATTTTTCTCATCCATGTGATGCTCACTCAATGGTGTAACCAAAAATCCAATTTAATTACCTTCAATTTCTTTCTCCTCTCTGTTCCATTCCAGTGACTATCGTCGACTAACGTGCTCAAAGTGCTTGAGCCGGTTCGTGTTTGTGCTCGTCCAGAAAACACTGTAGTTGTATCCCCTTTTCTCCCGTTGGAACCGTCGTGTTTCTTGCCCCGTTGTCCGTGAAACGAACCATGCAAATATGGATCTGTTTATCTTTGTCGTAATCCTCGTTGGGACCCTGGTTTCGCTGCTAGGACTTCACTTCTTCCTGCTCAAGCCCCTGTCGGGCAAATCATTCGAAGAGGAACTAAAGGAGAAACGCGAGATGCGTGAGAAGATCCTTGGTGTCGCCGGGACCTCTAAACCTACTAAGGACAATGCCAACAAGAAGGGTAAAAAGGTGAACAAGAAGCCGCAACCTCAGAAGCAGAAGGCTTCCGTTGCCGTTAAGGATTCCGATCTGGATTCGGGTGAAGTGGAAAGCGATTCCAACTCGTCCGAAAGCCAGATGGAGGAGGAAATCAACCCACTGACGTACGCCAAGAAGAAGGTGAACGCCAGTGTGGAATTCGCCGAAACGGAAGCATTCGCTCTGACTGATACCCACAACAAGGTAAGAAGATGAGTTTGGCACCTTGAGAGAGATATGTATAGCAAAACTGTTAATCCCAAGTAGGATAAAAGGACTTCATAATTTATTTACCTAGATACTGGTTCTCATTCCTGTTTCTACAAGACTACGATTCCCGGCTGCTAAACGGGTACTGAAAATAAAAACACCGTCATGTGGCCATGGTATGGCGAGTTTGCTTTAAAGGGACCTCCTTTCGAATAATTCGTTATGAAAATTATACCTTCCTTATTCCCGCTTTTTGATAGAATCCCATGAACTTGAACAGTAAGGGACCATTGATAAATTACGTAGCTTATTTGTTATCATTTTAGAACCCCTCTTCTTTCGTAGCGTATTTCGTTGTACCCAATACATGACTGCTCACACTTTCTAAAGACCCTTCGTTCAAAAGTAATCATCATGCACTTGATGATTTACATGTAATGTCGGCCTAAATGTCCCTAATTTGGACCCATACATAAATTCAACAATCGACTAAATTTTCAATAGCGACCAAAAATATCCATTAGTGCCGTCCCAATGACGCGTTCATCTAGATAAAATTGATAAATAGCAGATTTTTAGCTATGGGCCCAATCTTAGATCCATAGGCCAACATTAGAGCAATTTCCCCTACTACATAAATATGAATGAGAACAGCGGTGAAGATGGTCTAAAAACTAGCAATGTTCAAGACATTAAAACTGTCGTTTTTTTAATCGGTAGAAAAAAGACAAGCAAAACCAAGGTAAAAAGAACAAGCATAAGGGTGGTATTTTACTGAACAAATCGGAACCAGTTCTGGTCAAGCCGGAGCCAGCCCCGGAGATTAATCACTTTGAAGAAAGTCACCCCAAGGACGCCCTCGAGATTGCTCGTCAACATGTACGTTTCTATCTTATCATCAATGAAATATAATTTAGTCTATATTGTGAATTCATTCCAACAGAAGGAAGAAGAATCCAAACCCAAACCACAACCCAAGGAACAACGCAAGAATAAAAACAAGGACCATACCAAGCCATCGCCGAAGAGCAGTGCTGTCGAGGAGATTACCGTTGTTCCTGTTGCAGCTCCGATCACTGCCGTTGTTGCCCCTGCAAGCGAACCCAAGCCAACAGCAAACGCTCAAGCCAACAAGGATAAGTCCAACAAGAAGAAGAAAAACGAACTAATCACACAGCAGCTGGCCGCCGAAGTGCAGGACGCTGCCAACGTGCAATCGTTGGTTCGAATTCTCGGCAAGGCAGATCTTCCGCGGAACGACATCCAGATTTTGATTGACTTCCTGCTGAACAAGCAGCAAGATACACTGACTAAGGACCCGTCCGAGTGGAACGATCCATCCGATCCGCTGCAGAAACTGAAAAAGCAACTGCTGGAAAAGGAAAATCAGCTAATTGAAGAGCAGAAGGCCGCTTCCGGCTTGCATGCTAAGCTCAAGGAACTCCGCCAGGAGTTGAACAACGAGAAAACTCAAGGCAGCATGGCCGTCAGAAGCTTCAACGAGGAGCTGAACAACAAACGTTTGGAAGTGCAAAATCTTACCCAACAGATGCAGCTGGTTTCGGAGAAGTTCGCTGCCGAAAAGCAAACTCTTTCTCACCAGTACCAACAGCTGCAGGCCAAGTACATGCAAATGTCCGAGCAGCATGCCGCTGCCCAGGAGAACGCCGGCACCATTGCTCAGTTAAACGAAAACATGCAACTGCTGCAGCGTGAACTGATGACCAAGGGGCAATTGCTGAACGAGAAACTACAAACCGAAGAGGTGGGTTGCTTTTTTGTTTGGGTGTTCACCATATTGACGATTTTTTCATGTTTTGCAGGAACTGCTCAAGAAAAAGACTGAATACGAGATTTTGCTACACAATAAAGACGAAATCATTAAGCAACGCATGCAAGGTAAGTTTCGATAATATATTTCACGTTTTCTGTAGTTTGAATAGTTATCTTTCAATTCAATGCAGTTTAAAATTTAAATGGAAACAAAACGCTCATTTACCAACATCTTCTTTCCCAGAGCTTAACACGTACGAGAATGAAGTGAAGCAGCTGCGCGTTACGGCTGGTCAGAATGAGGAACTGGTCAAAACATGCCAGCAGCAGAACTACGAGGCGGAACAGCTGAAGGCTCAGGTTGGCGAACTGCAGGTGAAGCAGAAGCAAGCTGCCGCCGTAATGGTCGCTACCACCGCCGCCAACACCCAAGCCGAGGAGAGCAGCAAGGTGGAAATTCGTAATCTCCAGAATGCCTTAGATTCGAGCAAAACCGAACTGACTGTGTGCCGTTCCGAACTCGTCGACTACAAAGCCAAGCTAGCCGATCACGAGCAGCAGGCCAAGGAGCTGCGTGCCCGCGAGGAAGAGCTGCAGAAGCAGATCGAGCAACAGAAGGCGAAGAACAATGTAAGAACTTAGTCTTTTTTTTTAGCTTTAGTTGTGATGGATTTGATACTTACAACTTTTTGTCGATTGTATTGTGCTAGTTAACCAATTACCAATTGGCTTTGTAAATAATCGCGCTTAGTTGTAGCCACCAACTCACAACCCAGAAGCAATAGTATTATAGCGGACTTTTGTTCTCTTTGTTTCCGATTCCAAACCTTACCTCTTTTGAATACACCACCAACCTGTTTCCTCTCAACACCACCGCTGGAAACGGATCCGGCTTCATCCCATGTTGCGTTTCCTTTCTTATGTTGGCCTGTTGAATTTCGCTGCCGCAGGATTTACGCATGAAGAACTGGAAGTTGGTAGAAGCACTGGGGGTTACTCAAAACAACTCCACCAAACCAAGCACCACTAACAAGAATTCAAGTAGAAAAGTTGTAAGTTTCAAGCAGCAACCTACATACCTAGAAGATCCTGCTAGCTGATGTAGATTAGTTACTACAAACATTCTCCTATGCCCCTTTTATAGGAACTTGTAGCGGCAGCCAGCAAAGCACAGCAAACGTCCAATCACGTCCCGGAAGCCCCACCAGCACCCAAGGTGGACATCGATAAGGTGATCCTAGAGGAGCAAAACCGAACCAAGGACCTGCTGGTAAAGCTGCTTCCGCAGGACATTGTCTCGGCACTGCCACTGGATGCCACCAACTTCCATAGTTGGCTCGAATCCACCGTCGCCTGCATTCGAGAGCAGCAGGAAAGCGTTCGCCTCTCCAGCACCGCCACCAGTAATAATAGCACTGAGGTTGTGCACCATAACTACAACAACAGCAACACTAGTAGGAGTAGTAACAATAGTGCTAACAATAATAGTAGTTTAAACGAACATAATGACGCCCACGACGGAAAGACCGACGAGGGCAGTAGCAAAAATGGTGCCCCCGAGCTGGCAGATGCTGCTGAGGACCAGCAAGCACTGGCGCAGAGGACCGAGCAGCTGCAAAAAACAGTAGATCAATATAAGTTAATTATAGCTGATACTGTAAGTGTTGCTTCCCACCCCCATCCTAAGGATTGAACTAATCTGTGTCGTAATTGCAGGAAATCATGCTGAAAAATCTAGAATCGAAAGTAATCGAACAGGACATCCACTGGCGATCGGTGGTGCAAGCGAAGGAGAAAGAATTGACCCTGCTCAAAACGGCCGGTGCGATGCAGTAGTACTAGTAGTTTGTAGTAACCATCATCTTAGTAGTAATGATACAACACCCGGTGTGGGCACCAGTGTTTTGCGGCTGGTGCCGATGAAGGACAGGCCGTTGAGAGAAGGAAGAATATTTGCAAAAAAAAATGGATCGATTATTCCACTAAGCTATCATCGGGGAATGAAGGTAAGTTTTCATTGAGTTTGTTTTCCATCTACTCGGGCTTCCAAATTAGGGGGCGCACCTGTATACTGTATAGCGTCATTATTCAGTTGAAAAAGGGTGGTTTGTTTAAAAAAAAATTGAAAAACAATACTAAGTAAAATTTTTACACTGCGAAAAGTAACCGCAAGTCACATTAAAAAAAAAATAGATTTCATTAAATAAACTATAAATTGAAGTCACAGCTATGTGTTTAGACTTGCTTCTATTGAATTAACCGTTATGTGATCGACAAAAAAAAACACCTTTAGGAGCTCGACAAGGGTACCTACTCCGGAATGGCCGTCCCGGGGACAATCCATCGGATCATCACAAAATTATGATAAACAGTTTCCTGCAGTAAATTCATGAATTTTGACACCCATATTGCAGGGGTTTCTTCCCAAACGCTTCTATGGCCACTAGAGGCCCTACGGGAACCTGCGCCGGAATGGCCGTTCCGGGGAGAAACCTTAAACTGGTCCTCAAGTAAGCTGAAATGTTTTTTGAAGGAAATTCTGATATCATTTCCTTTGAAATTTTGGAGGCGAACCAAGGCTGAAAGCCTCCTTAATAAAGCTAAATAATAATAATCCTTTGAAATTCTAGCGAAAGTGGCTAGAAAATGCTTAGTTCTGGATCATTATACAGGAAATCCGGATTTCCGGGAACCAGACTATTCCGGATAACCATTAATGCTAATGTCCAGAAAGAAGATAACTTTCTGAATCCAATGGTGCCAAAAGATTAAGAATCGGTCAAAATTGGCCGCAGTAGCTAGCATTTCAATTTTGTAAAAAAAATTCACGACTCCCCCTTTCGAAGCCCCTTGCTGTAATTTGAAATCTTTCTTCATGAAAAGTTGTCGCTCCATGAGTTCTAAGATGTCACCGAGGGGGGCGACACATCTAAATCTCAAGTTTAGATAGTCAACAAATCTCACACTAGCGAATCAATCTTCGAACAATCTTGTTTCATTTGTCGCATCTACTTGCATCGCTCATCAATTTTTTGCAGGAAATCTTCAGAATCGTCATCAATCTTCTTTCTATCTACTCAGCGTGCGCGCAGCTAGCCACAGCAAAACACAATCTTTTTTGGATCGTAGATAGAGTCGCCCCCCTCGGATGTCACTGAATTCTGGTTTACTGTCGTGAAAATAACTTCATAATTTGTTAACTTGAAATCTGAAAAGGTACCCGGGTACCTACCCTGTCGATCACATAACGGTTAAGGATGTTAGACAACATATCGCATCATGAGATTTGATTCAAGACAGATTCTGTCCACCTCCCCTAGGGTTTCCGGAACATGTGCGGATGTGGCCAATATAGGTCTTACAACCCTAAATATGACTGCCAATGGATATGGCTTTGAATTTTCATATGATTTGATGTGTCGCATGAGGGATTTTGATTAAACAGGCCTATTCTGCGCGGCGTGTGAGGTGAGGTGACTCGCTCTCACTTGTGAAGTGACAATTGTCACCTCGGGTGAGGTGACTCTCCGTGCAAATCAAATGGAGAGTCACCTCACCCGAGGTGACAATTGTCACTTCACCATCACTTCACTGTCACTTCACCTCACACGCCGCGCAGAATAGCCCTGAAAAAAAGGTTTTACCACTTCCCCGGGGATACTCGGAACTGTTGTAGAAAGATTGATCGAAAAGGCAAAGTAATGCTAAAAACGATCCTAACAAACTCCAGCAGGTCCCAGCTAGCTGCTGCAAAGCTGCCTCTGCTGTCCGAAGAAGTCGTCTCCACTCTACTCGATCTATGGCCACACTTCGCCAGCCTCGTAGTCTGCGAAGGATCCGCAGGTCGTCCTCTTCGTCTTGGGGCGCTTTCGAGAACCATTTTCAGCGGGTCACAACACCAAGGGCGGTAGGTCCTCCACGAGCATAAACCAGGTTTCGTGGCCGTAGAGGCCCATCGGTCTAATCAGCGGCGAAAAATATAAGCCTACCCGACACCAACCTGACTTCTTCCAAACCCCAACGTGACAGCCAGGCATGGAAAATCATTTGCATTCATTTCGTGCATTCATTTACATTCATTTGCCTCTAACTTTTTTCTTCAACAGCATTCCGCAAAATGATGTATTGAGCTTTTGTAGGTTTTGTTACTAGCTACAACATTTGTTAACAAGTTAAATCCGTATTTTAGCAAAGCGGGTATAGATGCGACTGTTCTAATACAGCTTTCATTCGTTCGTGCGTGCGCTGTTGCCAATAAACTTCGAATTCAGATCTGAACGTACGGTAGCAAGCGGTAGTAAGGTACACAAAGCAACAGTCAATTCAGGTATAAACCAACTGTCGCGAGGAGGCTGTACTATTTCGAAGCCTGCTCAGCAGTGTGATCGCGCTGTAGTTGCAGCAATCGAACTTGTCGCCATTTTTGTAGGTTGGGCTTACGACACCTTCCATCCTCCGGTAATATCTCCTCCTCCCAAATCTTGGCAATTGCCCAGTGCAGCGCTCTAGCCAGTGCTTCACCACCGTATTTTAATAGCTCACTGGGTAGTTGATCTACACCAGTTGCTTTGTTTTTCTTCAGTTGACCGATCTCCTAATCAACTTTTTGATCAGGGGCCGGTAACCTGTCGTCTTCTGTGCGTGCTCCTAGGTCTGTTGCCGTGCCGCCTTCGTTTTCTGCTGCTTCACCGTTGAGGTGCTCGCCATAGTACTGCTTCCCCCTCTCAATCACCTCACACTCGTTCGGCATGTCGAGGCGCAGCACGGCAGGGAATTTCTCCCTTATTTCCATATACCAACGGTAGATCGCGATCGGGAACCTCCACTACCTTTCCATTCACATAATGTAAAATCAAACCCTCTGAGCTATGGCAAAAAGCAGCAGCATCTTCAGACTTCAACTTAATGGAAATTGACAAAATTGACAATCTCACCGATCGAGGAGCGGATTAAAAACAATAGTTTGTTACGATAATGAGAGCGAAGCAAACTGTTCTAGCAGATCTATTAAGGAATTGTTTGGGTCTTGGGGCTACCTAGATTTGTCTACTGATATCCGTGGTATATTTTGTACTATTTCCTGACATTCAATGCTAAGCGTAATAATGACAACATCCTATTACTGTTTTCTGATTTATCTTTTTCTTCTTTTCAGACCACTGAGACGAGAGGACTGAAAGCAAAACAAACAAAAAAAAAATAGCAAGCACCAGCGTATTTTTGACCCCCTATTCAAAACTGTATGTGTGTCCTGCCTACCATCTTCCCGAACTAATTCCCAATACATGTTCAAAATTCCTCTTTTCCTCTTGCTCTCAGTTGCGTCTCGAAGCACCCACGCACACACCACCACCATAGTGGGTCCTTGCGTTGGATATATCTCTAGATCGGCCCTTCCCGATGCAAAATGCTAAATAGAAATGTGTGCGCAAATTCGAAAGCAAAACAAACATTGAAAGCCGGTCTAAATGTGTTTGGTTGGCAATCGTTTTTCGGCATATGTACCTACCGCGAGAGCATGCGATCCATTCCTTCTTTCGTGGACCTTGCAGTTTCCTGAAGAACAAACATAACATACCCACAGACAGAATCACACACACACATACACTCCACTTACGTTTTGCTTTTAGAAGTTACTGGATCATGGAAACCGCGGGGAGGAAAATAAGGCATCCTTCGAAAACTGTATTAAGTTACTAATGAGTTAGAAGTGCAGCAAAACTTCAAAAAAAAAATGAAAGAAGATGGAGAAGATTTGATAGAGAAAACAATTGTGAAACAAATTTTAGGACCGTATGAAGATTAAGAATGAGAACGACCGAATAACAAATTGTGTAAAATATTGTACTAAATTGCATTTTTGTTTTTGCTGTCACCAGGAAGATGGACACTGTTGTTGTACGTTATTTTTTGGGTATCTATTGTTTAAAGTACAGCGAAGCAAGTTTTACTATTGTTTACAATAAATGCATTAAATCAGAATTTGTGGATGTATAGTAACGAAAGTCAACGCAAAACGCATATACTCCTTTGAACGGCAATGATATATAGAGTTGAAGTTGATTGATTTGTGCGAACCTACATAGGGAAAACTGGGACGTTTACCATGCTGAAGATGCAAAACAGTGTAAAATGCTGGTAGTTTACAATCGCTTCTAATGAATAATTCATTTCTGACAAAAAATTCTCATGGGTCTGTTATGCTTTTATGGACCGTTTAGTAAAGATATAAATTCGTTTTTTGTAAGAATTTCTCCAATTGGATATCAAATCAATACTCGCTCAGACTGGACCTTAAAAAATTACAAAACTTGCCCTACTAAGAATAATTATTTCCTGAAATGAATCATAAATTACTGAAATCCACAGAACACCAGGTTAAGTTATTACCCATTTCCACAGATCTGTCAAGAAGTTATCAAAGCATGGGTAATGAACGTCAACAGTCTCTTGTTTCGAAAAGGTTTCTATTATGGTATACATATTGCATTATGCAGACCATCATTGCCGTGTATTTCTAAAAGAAATATATTCCTCATGTACATCAATTTAAAGGCACCGACAACACACACACACACACAAACTGGCCCTTTATAATACCCGGTTCTGCCATGATGTGTATCTTCCAGAACATAACAATTGTTAGTGAAAGGATCGTGAATCCAACGAAACTCTCAAATCCAAGCAATCAAGCAATGTCCCATCTCAAAAGAAAAATTGGATTGAATATTAGTTAATTAACAAATTATCTGAAGTACTACTAAAGCCCTACTCCATTAACTTCCTAAGTTGTAAGACACACACTCTACTGGGCTTAAAATTGTCCGATTACGTTGAAAAAGGCGAAAAGAAGCGTGCTCCTGCTCAACGCTGACACGTTTCTTATTTATTTTCCAAAACTATGATTATTATTATACCTAACTTGTATCACACACACTCAGAATGGAACAAAAATTGTACCAGTATCGAAGTTTGGATTTCCCATCAACTGGGAATCCAATTCTATCGATGAAAGTAAGAGCGTTGCTGAAAAGACACGTGAAATATTATTTTTTATATATAAAGCAAAAATAGAATTATAAAATTAAACAAAAAAAACTAGATATACACATATATACTTTATCTTCTAGGAGAGAAAAAAACCTAAATAACACTGAGAAAAACCGTTCAACGCGCAAAGAAAAATAAAGGAAACGTTGCGAGAATGAATACGGGCAAAAGAAAAAGAGAAAGAACAATATGTTTAGGTATCAAAAGAGAGATTAAAGCAGTTCAAGCTTTTCGCGAAGAAAAAAAAAGAGACAATGAAAATAGACTCCATTTTTTGGATTATTGATAGGCGATCAATAGCAGGCAGAATTAAAAAAAAAAACAGTAAAGGCAGAAATAACAAATAAAACAAAATGGCTAATTAATATTTGTGAATGAAATTGTTCTTTTTCTGACAAAAGATGGTAAACAGAAAACGAATACATAATTCTATCGCATCACCAAGTTGAGGTTTCAATTAATCCGAAATGTTCTCGAACACAGTAGATGCAGTGTGGTCGTGGTCTGCATAAAAACTTTTAAACTTCAGTTATCTGCAGCAGCAGAAGTCCGTCCGGTGTCTGTCTGAATGACACAAGAAGCACTTATTTTTGAGACCATCGTAAGTAACCTTCTTGGGAAAACTACCCTAATAAAAAAAAACTATAAACGAACGATAGCCCAAATTTTAGAACTTCTCCAACCTTGTCGAAGACCGCAAATCGATTCGACTACTGTGTAAAAAGTTATACCTTCTTCTTCTTGTTTACAAACGTATCGGATACATCACACAAACTCACATCATGAGTTTCAATCCAACCGTGTCCCATTACAGGAGAGAGCCTGTCCCAAATTGGTTGTATTTGCCATCTGACATGTCGCAAAAAAAAAATGTTTGACTGTCAGCAATCACACGAGCCTAAGTTACAGGTCAGCTACCAGTTCTACCGTCGGGTAATGAAACGACTTTCTCTGGTAAAACTGGGCCACGAGCAGTGTGAAAAGTGCATCGGAAACAGCATAATACCAACAATCAATACGAAACTAACGATTTTAAATTGGCCCACTACTTGACTAGCCTATTGGTCCCAAGCAAATCGATTAACGTATCCCATTCTAGTCAAAATTCTAGTACTACACAATGTTTGTTTTGATTCGCTATGAAAGTTTGATAGATAAAATGAGGGGCTCGTGGATTTTCCTATGTTTCGAGGGGTGAATCGATTAGCTTGGGACCGAAGATAGAACCAGAGCTGAGCCAAAAAGTTGAGCACGTTTCTTCGGAACCTACTAGTCTATGATAATACCCCGTACCCCCGATTTTAACCTACCGGGCATTGCATGGACTCCAACCCATAGTGGTTTCTTTTGTCCTGATCACGTGGACAATTATAGTACCGCAATTCGGTCACAAATCAATGGCCTGTTGAATGAAAACAACCGCACCCTGCATCTCTGCTTTGTGAGTGCTTGTGATACAGCTCCTTTCCTCTCCACGGCACCCGAACCTTTAGACAAGGAAGTGCATCATCACCCTGCTTTAGTTATCGTGATCGAAAATAATATTGTCCATGATTTCACCAGCACTCCAAACGCTGTGTCATATGACTTCCGTAGAGCTGACCATCGCAGTATTGTCCATGTGCAGTATAATGTCGTTTTCGTTTTTGCGGTGTAGCTACACCGGTGCTACACTGCCGTACACCGAAATATTTTAGGGTGTAGATATAGGATGCACCTTTGTTTACAAACAAATGGTGTTGAGCTGTCAAAGACTCGCGCTTATTCCTGCTTACACTACACCAGTGCTACACCGCAAAAACGAAAACGACATAACCTAGATTGGGAGCATATTCTAGATCCTGTAGACGCCAACATTGCTGCACAAACCTTTTCTCACGTCTTGGCATATGTCATTGACAGACACGTTTCCAGTGGATGACGAAAGATCTTCGCTCGTTGAAAAGAACTAAGAAGGCTGCTCTCAGAAGATTTACACTGCACACTGCGGAAATGCTACTATGTCAGACTCAACCACGAGTATAAAGCGAACCCCACACGTATCAATATATTGACGTGGAGGGAAATTATTGACAATTATATTGACAATGTGAATACAGAATTATTGTCAATACCGATGTATTGACGTCAATATAGAATGTATTGACAATACACAGCAAAAAAAATGTAATATCGATCAACGTAATTCAAGCTGATGTATGAAATAATGCTGTAATAGCAAAAAGCAGATACAATATTACATCAATGGATGTAATTTTGTTCGCAAAATCGATGTACATCGTACAATGTGATATTACACAACCGATGGATTGACCTGGTTGCAGCAGTTTCGATGTAATATTCAACAACTTTTTTTGCTGTGTACGATTATTGTCAATAAAAACAATCGTGTAGGGTCCACTTAAGCGGTTAAGTCGTCTCTGTTTCCAACGCTATCAAAGGAGGATTCAACGGCGGCTAAAATCACACCCGAAATCCTTCTGGAACTTCGTAAATGAGCAACGCAGGGAAGTCGGCTTACCCTTTCAATGATTTTTAATGGATCATATCATTCGAGCAGTTTAAAATGACGTTTCCTACCACTCGAACTTTAATGTGGAACAATATTTTGATATTTTTTCTTCTACAACCTCGAGAAAATAGGGTCTTATTTGTGATATGCTTGAAAAATCTGGAATTTATTGTTTCATTTCCGTAAAATCGCTGGTAGAAGGTCGTCTCAAAACTGCTCGACAATATGATTAATTGTGAAACTGCTGGCAATCAACAAGACATTTGCAACCTGTTCTCAGCCAAATTTGCTAGTGTGTTTGAAGACGAGCAACTCTCCGCTAATCTCATTGCTTCCGCGGCCAGTTATGTTCCTTTGGTCAACCAAACGCTCAGCATGGTCGAAGCCACTACAGATACGATTTCTAGAGCAGCATCTAAACTTAAGACTTCAGCTAAGGCTGGACCCGATGGTGTTCCGTCGATTATTCTTAAAAAGAACATCACTTGTCTTTTAGATCCACTGCGCCGCATATTCCAGCTTTCTCTTTCCAGCGGCATATTTTCCGTCTTGCTGAAAGACTGTGGATATGTTTCCTGTTCAGTTCATAATAAGGGAAGCAAACGCGACGTAAACAATTACCGGGGAATCACGTCGCTGAGTGCTGTATCAAAACTTTTTGAATTGGTTGTCATGCGCATTGCAAACAATATCTAAGTATAGATCAACACGGATTCATAACTGGGCGTTCCACAACTACGAACCTGCTGTGCCTAACGTCTTACATCACAGACAGTTTGATTGCTCGAACCCAAACGGACGTTATCTACACAGATCTTACGGCAGCCTTCGATAAGCTGAACAACGAAAATGCGATCGCTAAGCTTGATAGACTAGGGATCGGTGGAAATCCTTTGAGATGGTTTCGTTCATACCTCACGGAGCGCCAATTGACAGTAACTTTGAGTACTTGTCGCTCAGCAAGCTTCTGCGCAAAGTCCGGTATACCTCAGGGTAGCCATCTGGGACCATTGGTATTTCTCCTTTACTGACTGGTGTAGTCAAAACCGACTGGAGGTCAACCCAGCTAAGTGTACAGTTATTACTTTCTCACGCAAGAAACAACCGATTATTTTCAGCTACAAACTGCTAGGCACGACTATCGAACGGGTGCATTGCGTGAAAGACTTAGGCGTTTTTCTAGACTCAAAGCTGACATACTCACACCATATATCGTATGTCGTCGACAAAGCGTCCAGAACTCTTGGCTTTGTCTTCAAGATTACTAAGAACTTCACAGACATTTACTGCTTAAAATCGCTCTATTGCTCTTTCGTACGATCTACGTTGGAATACTGCTCTGCAGCCTGGAGCCCGAACTACAATAATGGGGCCGAGCGAATTGAATCTGTGCTATGACGTTTTCTTCGCTTCGCGCACCGTAAGTTGCCTTGGAGATACTCACATCGTCTTCCAAGCTACGAGAATCGCTGCCAATTGATCAATGTCGAGCCCTTACGTATCAGAAGAGATGTTTTGTTCTGCAAGGAAGAATCGACTGCGAAGCAATTCTGCAACAAGTGAACATTAATGTTCAACCTCGATCACTACCCAACAGTCTTATGCTGAGACTTCCACTTCTTCGAACTAATTATAGCTTAGGGAGTGCTATTTACGGCTTGGAGCGAGTGTTCAACCGAGTAGCGTCGATGTTCGATTTCCACTTGACACGGAATATGCTTCGCCGAAGATTCTCTACCTTTTTTGCTGACCGAAGGCGCTTGACGCCCAACAGCTATGGTACGCAACACCTTCCGTTCGAAAACACCAAGGGCGCGTTGGTCCTCCACGAGCATAGTCCAGGTCTCGTGGCCGTAGAGCACCACCGGTCTAATCAGCGTCTTGTAAACAGTCAACTTCGTGTGGCGGCGAATTTTATTCGACCGGAGCGTCCTCCGGAGTCCAAAGTAGGCCATGCCATAATGCGTCTTTGAATTTCTCTGCTGGTATCATTTTCGACGGTCACCAGTGAGCCCAAATACACGAACTCATCGACCACCTCGATTTCGTCACCGTCAATCTGAACTCGGGGTGGGAGGCTAACATTGTCTATCCCAAGAACCTCTTCCTTTCATGTATTTTGTCTTTGATGCGTTGATGGCAAGTCCAATCCACCTAGCTTCAGCCTTCATTCTGATGTACGTTTCCGCTATCGTCTCAAAGTTCCGTGCCATGATGTCAATGTCATCGGCGAAGCCAAGAAGCTGGACGGACTTCCTGAAGATCGTGCCACTCGTGTCTATCCCAGCTCTTCTGATCACACCTTCTAACGCGATGTTAAATGGCAGACACGAAAGTCCATCACCTTGCCGTAACCCCCTTAGAGATTCAAAGGGACTCGAGAGTGTCCCCGATACTCGAACAACGCACATCACTCGATCCATCGTCGCCTTGACCAATCGCGTCAGTTTATCCGGAAATCCGTACTCGTGCCAAGGGGTTGGTCACTCTACACAGTGTGCCAAAATCAAACTTGGGCACACCCCGGGACGGGACTTGACAATCCAGCTTCTCACTCTTCTTAATGTTTTTGATGAATGCCCGTCGAAAATTAGTGCATGGTGTTTGACGGAGTTGACCAATGATGCCAGGATTGAAAAATGATTTTTCTATTTTAATTTTAATTTGATTCGGAGTTTCTACCGCAGCTTAACACCTTGTACATCATTTTTGTTTAACACAATAAAAACAACCATAAACAAACAAGAATATCCATCTCTTAAAGCACGCCCTGGTCCCTATTTTCCAACTTTCCTTTCGCAAATATAAACAATTAACAACGCCATTGACGTCAACAATGATTCCGGCATCACTGCCAGACAGATTGATATGATCCCTATGTTCTTTTTATTCCACGATTGCTACCACGATCGACCAATCAGCAACTGGCTCGGATTTGACAGCAAATTGGCTCGAAATCGCTACCCGATTGTCAAGTCCCGTCCCAGGGCACACCCGGGTGCAGTCATTGGCATTGTTTGGCACCCATGGTTACAATTTTTATGATCTTTAAAGTTACTGGCAACACTGAACTTTTTCTGCACCTGCGCAGTGTGCAGGTCAAAATTTGTTATTGATGTTGCCACTCCTAGTCAAATTATTTTCAAAACAACCGTGAATCTCCACCAAGTCTCTCCATGGATTCTCAAAATCGTTACACCCGTGACTGAAGTCGCATCCACATTTCCTTCCAGACGAAGAACAGCTAACAGCGGTATCTTGCCCTGACCGAGGTTTCCGGTAATGGCTACACGAACTAGCGATGCAGCTCCCACGGCTGCGGCTGCTTCCAATGCTGCTGCTGGTCCGTCATTTTTTTTAACGAATTTTAGAGGACACGGACCAGCAGAAGGAACAGCAGCAGCAGCATTGGAAGCAGCCGCAACCGTGGGAGCTGCATCGCTAATCCGTGGCCGATCACGACAAGCGGTTTGAGTTTTCATCGGAAAGTCAACAACCAAACAAAAACTATACCACCCGACCATTCGAACTGCTCCAGTACATCCATGGCGGTGGCTGCTTCACCAACCATTCCATCGTCCTTCATATAATGTTGGAGGACCGTCTTGGCAAAACCTCAAATAGTTCAACAAATTATTTTTACTCTCCTGCCTTTTGGCACTTCCAACTAACATCTTCATAATGAACGGGAGTTTTGTGCATTTGTGATCGATCGCGCTGTGGTTGCACTTCATGATGGCGTTGACCACCAGGCTAAGCTCGGGAACTTTCCGACTTCAGCGGGAACATTCGCACTTCGAGACGGATGCATCCAGTGTGTAGTCCCAACTGTAGTCAGTGTCGTTTTTGAAAACATTGAAAAACAAAACAAAAACAAGCACATCAAAAGTCAGTTCAATCCCCCCTATTCTGCGAGTCACGTGACTCTCTCTCACCGGTGAGGTGACAATAGTCACCTCGTGTGAGGTGACTCTCCATTTGATTTACATGGAGAGTCACCTCACACGATGTGACAATTGTCACCTCACCGGTGACAGAGAGTCACGTGACTCGCAGAATAAGGGGGAATGACTTCTTTGCACTGCCGGTACAGCTGCGGCACACTGAGGTACACTGAGAAAAAACTTGGCGCAATACAGGTGTGTAGAGTGACCACCCCTTGACTCGTGCATAATCTGCCATAGCTGATCTCGATCGATTGTGTCGTATGCGGATTTGAAATCGATGAACAAATGATGTGTGGGCACGTTGTATTCGCGGCATTTCTGCAGAACCTGCCAAATGGTGAAAATTTTGTCCGTGGTAGCGCGGGCACCCATGAATCCCGCCTGGTATTGCCCCACGAACTCTCTTGCAAATGGTGACAGGCGGCGGCTTAGAATTTGGGAGAGTACCTTGTAGGCGGCGCTCAGCAGTGTGATCGCGCGGTAGTTGCAGCAATCCAACTTGTCGTCTTTTTTGTAGATTGGGCATACGACACCTTCCATCCACTCCTCCGGTAATATCTCCTCCTCCCAAATCCTGACAATTACCCAGTGCAGCGCTCTAGCCAGTGCTTCACCACCGTATTTTAATAGCTCACTTGGTAGTTGATCTACACCAGTTGCTTTGTTGTTCTTCAGCCGACCGATCTCCTCCTCAACTTCTTGAAGATCAGGGGCCGGTAGCCTGTCGTCTTCTGCGCGTGCTCCAAGGTATGTTGCCGTGCCACCTTCGTTTTCTGCTGCTTCACCGTTGAGGTGCTCTTCATAGTACTGCTTCCACCTCTCAATCACCTCACACTCGTTCGTGAGAAGGTTACCGTCCAAGTCCTTGCACATATCGGCTTGCGGCACGTAGCCTTTGCGCGAACTATTTAGCTTCTCGTAGAACTTCCGTGTGTCGTTTACGCGGTACAGATTTTCCATCGCCTCGCGATCTCGGTCTTCCTGCTGACGCTTCTTCCTTCGGAAAACCGAGTTTTGTCTGTATCGCATTCAATCTCGTGCGGTGTTGCAGCATTCTCGCCCGTGCTGCATTCTTCTCCTCTACTAACAGTTTGCATTCGCCGTCAAACCAGTCATTTCTTCGGTCCGGGATTGCAGTACCTAGTGCCGCTGCAGCAGTACTACCTATGGCGGAACGGATTTCCCTCCAGCCATCTTCAAGAGAAGCTGCGCCAAGCTGCTCTTCCGTGGGTAGTGCGACTTCCAGCTGCTGCGCGTAGTCCTGGCAACTCCGGCGTCCCGTAGTTGCTCAATGTTGGGTCGCGGCGTTCGACGGGTGTCCTGGGCAACTCCGGCGTCCCGTAGTTGCTCAATGTTGGGTCGCGGCGTTCGACGGGTGTTATGAACCGTCGAGAGTTTTGAGCGCATGCATACTGCAACTAGGTAGCGGTCCGAATCTATGTTCGCACTGCGGTACGTGCGGACGTTGATAATGTCGGACGCAGATCTCTTGATTCATGGTTCCCGTAGTAATGAAAATGCCGCTTTTTAGACCACACGTGCATATGGCCTGCCAGACGAGATATTTTTTTCGGGAACTTCGATAGTTTGATGGTTTTGAAAATTTCAGCCACCTTCTCGGAAGCTGCTTGAAATCCGCCTTCACATAAGTTTCGTCGTCCATGACGACACAGTCGAACTTTGTTAGCAGATTCGTATACAGCTTTCGGGACCGCTGCTTTGCCGACGTGTTTTGTTTGTTATCTCGGTTCACCACCTTCACCTTCTTAAACGTCGACAACCCAGCTCGTTTCTTATGGCCCGCTGCACAGTAGTATGGGAGACATTGAGCTTGCCAGCGACGTCCCGGATGGAGAGGTTAGGGTTCCGCTTATATTTCACCGCCACCCTCTTCGTCGTCGCTACCACGTCCGGATTACGATTGCCGTTGCTTCCAGGCTTCCTGGCGGTCGACAGACGCTCCCCGAACACTTTTAAAACGTTTGTCACGGTCGATTTGGTCACATCCAGCAATTTTGCCAACTTGGCGTGTGAGAACGTCGGATTCTATTGCTGTGCGAGCAAAATTATGACACGCTGCTCCTCTTGCTTGGACGTCATTTTGAAAACTGGAGAGTATTGTAATTTAATCGGTCTTCTGAGGTTTGGCCAAAGTAGGAACCAATGATAAATACTGGTTCACTCCCCTATATACTACTTTGAAGTTACGTTTTGTTACGTCAAGTTAAGATTTGTAAAAAAATAATAATCATGAGATTTTTTACATTCCGGGAAACGGTTTTCCAGGAAATGACGTACAATCAAGCTGACCCATCTTGCCCCGTGGCTGATCTTTCCCGGTGATTCTCGATTCCCTACTGTTTTCCCCATTTCCCGAATGGGTGGCTCGAATTACGGCATTTCGGGATTATTTGTTAAGCGTTCGAAGAATTCCATGTTAAATAAAAACAAGGTCACATTTTTTTCTTGTTTACCTTCTGCATAGAATTGTCTATTTGTTATCATTTTTGCTGCTATTTTTGTGTAGATGTCCTGTCAGAATTGGTTCTCTCTAGTATAGAATTTAGTACTGGGAAAGTGTAACAATTGATTTTTTTTTACTGAAGTTGGTTTTCTGTCTTCATGTTCTGCTTCGAATTGATGGCTAGCCAATTCTACCAATTTTTTTTTATACTTCCTAATTCTGATGTTTTCAGACAGTCCTTTCTGTTCTGCACTATATCACTTCTTTTCGTTTTTAATAGTACTTTGTGTGTGTTTGTATCACCGCGTGCGCCCCATTTTTTCTTCACAGTTCTCGGAGTTCGTGTTAACCCGTCCGGAGTAGAATCAACGGTTTGGAAGAAGCGATCGGCAGAATTTCCGCGAAGGTAACCCCTATTTAGCTTTTTTTTTTATTATTTTAAATTGATGTTTTTTTTTCTCCAAAATGTAACTTTTCATTTGACCTTGGGATTTTGTATTTGCTGCTGGATATATTTGCAAGTATGTGTATTAAAGAATGCTCTATAGATTTGCTGTTTGCTATCCATGTTGCGATCTGTATGTATCTAAGCGAGCCTGTTGTTGTAAGGTGTTTAAAATCGTGTTCAGATGTGTGTTGGTTAATAAGATCAATATAAATAATATGTTTTCCTAACTTTATACGCCCTTTCGAAAATGTGGAGGGCCTGTGCCTTTCTTTGTATATCTGCTGTTCCTTTTAGTCCGCGCTTGAAAAGAGTAAAACGAAATTCAGGACCGTAGTTGGCTGTCGGGATGAAACTTTCTCTTCTCTTTTGCTCTGAAGTAAACCATTCCTTATTTTCTTCTTTTGTTGGCTTGTAACGTTAATTTAGAGTGGGTTCATTCATATCTGCAGTGTACTATGTATGTTTAAAGATGTTGTGTTTGTGAATTCGTATTTTTTTTGTTTTGTTTTTCCATTAGCAAGTTGGAAATGTAATTCCCGGTTCTCCGACGCGGAAATTGTTACCTTACTCGTTCCACCAATCGCTAGCGCCACCGCCGGTGCTGTAGCTTCCGCCATAGCTGCCACCACCACCGCCACCGCCGCCGCCGCCGCCGCCACCACCACCACCGCCGTTGCGATAGTAGGTTCCTTCATCGCGACCTGAAATTAACAATCGTATTGAAAATTAGACTGCAATTCATTTTTTTATAATTGAGGTAAGTTTTAATTTAACTGCCAAATTAATGTCATTTTTCAAGAATGTTATTTTTTGCATTTTTGTTCGTCAGAATCTCGTCGTACTAGATTTACACTACATGGAAATGACTACATGTTTCACTAAGTAAAATTTGCATTAACCAAGGATTTGGAGAAACCAATATGGGAAAGACTAGTGGTGGACGCTACTTCAAATTCTAAGAGGGTATGGAGAACGCATGTGAGGAACATTCGGAAATCCAGAGCAAATTGTGTTTAGGGCGAAACAAATGGAGAAAAACCGAACAAGTTTGCACGTATTAATTTTGATAGAGATATTAATAGCACAACACTATCTATTTTAAGATGGGTTAACTGAAAATTCAAGTGGATTTAACATAAGCATTCTATGTTAAAAAGTAATGGAAAAGATCCCTATCCATGACCGGGTAAAAGATTGCGGAAAAACTGAAGCAGCCCTCAATGCTGATCAGTGTTGGCAAAATCAGCAATCAATTGATATTTTTCCGCTCTCATGGGTTCACAATATCACGCTTGATATTGATTTTACAAGCTACTTTGATATTGCGAGACTATTCACAACGTGCAAAAATCAAGCTGAGAGTTGACTCGACACAAACATGATTCCGTTGCACATCGTTTTCTTAGAAAGAGAAAGTATAGTTTGCTATATCTTTTTACTCTTCACCGATGGCAGACGCGAAGTGACTGCTGCCAGCCGTTATGGAAGCTTTGGTTGCATTCGGGTGTAAAGCAAAAATCATGAAACTCAATCTCACCACAGTTTGTTGAGATTTGCAGCTGGTGAGTTTTGTTAGCTTGATATTCCGAGCTGCGATATCACAGCTTGCAAAATCATCCGCAGTTGTTTGCTTTTTGATTTTTGTGTAAGAAAATCAAGCGTGATTTTGGGCGTTGGTGAGATTTGATTTTTTGATATTTTCCCTACACTGATGCTGATATAGTTTATTAAAGCTTTATATACGATATTTTCTTGATTTAATTGATTTATTACTTAAAACATTCAAACCCTTTCATACTTCCCATTCAAACAGAAAATTAGCCATATCATGGACACAAAAAGGGTTTGGCAATTTGAAAAAAAAATGTTTCGTGACCACCTCTGGGTGCACGGCGAATAAGAACGACCCCAATTTGAGTTTAATTTACTCATAATCGCAGATAGTGCAGACACTGAGCGATGAGTAAATTTGCCTCATTCTTTTCTGTGGAAAACCTCAAAAATCTGCCGGAAAATTTTAATCAGTCTAGGAGTAGTACCAATAGACTGAATGAATCCAATCTTTACTTTTCTCATATTCGGGAATTGTTACCTGGACAAACCTGGGACAACAAGAGGCAAATTAACTCATCGCTAAGTTCCTGCACTTGAAGTGATTTATGAGTAAACTAAACTCAAATTTGAGTCGTTCTCATTCGCCATGTTGGGTTGATTTTTTTAAATTACAACTAAACTTACCGTATCCACCACTTCCGCCACCGCCGCCATAACCACCGCCGCGACCACCAGCACCGCTGCCTCCGCCGCCACCGCGTTGATCACGAGTATTGCCACGGTTTTGGTTCTGCTGACGGTAATCCCTGGAGCCGAAGGAAGAGGTCGTTCCACCATAGCGTTGGTTGCGACCACCTCCACGGCCGCGGCCACCCCACGAGCGGTCATTGGTCATATCTTCCAGGAATCCTGGAACCTCCTGCGATGTTTCCACCAGTAGCCGAACTAGTCCGGTGGCCACGTTGCGGTTCTTGTCGTTGAAGAAGCTTGTCGCGATACCTAGATTACCCATACGGCCGGTACGACCGATACGGTGGACATACTCTTCGATTTCTGCTGGCAAATCGAAATTGATGACATGTTTGACGTTCGGAATATCTAAACCACGAGCTGCTACGGCAGTTGCAACCAAAACAGGGCAACGTCCAGAACGGAAGCACTTGAGTGCATCCTCGCGTTCCTTCTGCGTACGATCACCATGGATGCTGGTGACCGGGTGGTTGTAGTTGAACAGGAATTCTTCCAACGAATCGGCGGATTTCTTGGTTTCCACAAAGATTAGCGTTAGACAGTCTTTTTCTTCGCCATCATTCTGTGCCTTGATGTTCGAAAGTAAGTCCAGCAAATGGGAGCGCTTGTCGGTTTCATCTACCCAGAAGATCGACTGAGTGATGTTGACCGAAGTGGATCCGACACGACCGACGGCCAAAAAGATGTAATTGTGAAGGAAATCACTAGCTAGCTCTTGGATCGCTTTCGGGAACGTAGCGGAGAACATCAGTGTTTGGCGCTCTCCGGTCGGTGGCATCTTGCTATCTTCAACGATACGACGAATTTGCGGCTCGAATCCCATGTCCAGCATACGATCGGCCTCGTCAAGAACGAGGAAGCGAATATTGTCGAGTCCAACTTTACCACGCATAATCATATCTTCCAGACGTCCCGGAGTAGCGACAATCAGATGACAGCCACGATCAAGTTCACGCATTTGCTCCTGAGTATTGTTACCACCGTACAGGACGGCAGGACGCATGCGCGAGCGATAGCAGAATTTCTTAGATTCTTCGAAGATTTGCGTGGCTAGCTCACGAGTTGGAGCCAACACCAAACCAAGTGGATACTGCTTGCGACGATTGAATGGACGATTTTGCGGTGGAGGGGCAACCCCATGCTTGTACATTTGATTCAGAATGGGAACCAGGAAAGCGGCTGTCTTGCCGGATCCAGTCTGGGCACAAGCCATCAGATCACGCCCAGACATAATAATAGGGATGGCGTACTTTTGGACCGGTGTTGGTACATCGTAGCGCGCTAGTTTTATATTATTATCGATGATCTCTGTCAGCTCAATGTCATCGAAGGTGTTGATGTGCTGTGGCACGGTATCACCCGTCGCCTCCACGGGAATATCTTCGTACTTGCTGAAATTGATACCGGTGTTACCGTGTTGGAAGAGCTCACCTTCCAAACGCTCATCACGGTCGGTAAGCTGCGTATAGTCGACGTCTCCTCTGGCGCGGTCGTTCCAGCGTCCACCCATACCCGGTCCGCGATCGTCTCTGCCTCCGCGGTTACCTCCGTAGCCACCTCCACCGTATCCGCCTCTATTGTCCGCTCCGTTCGACGACGGTTCTTGCCATCTGTCGTTCTGCGGCGGACGACTATCCATTGGCCGATCACGGAAATCTCCTCCGCGACCACCGCGAGGAGCGTTATTCCAGTTACCACCACCTCTTGGTTGCTCAACATTATCGACAAATGGTTCGTCGACGAGAGGCTCGGCGCCGTTTTGCTGGTATTCATCCTGCGGTTTCTGTAGATCTTGCTCTGGAGCATGTTCTGGTGGAGGTCCACGATTGTAACCGCCACCGCCACCACGGTTGTAGTTATCTCTTCGATCGTTTTGGTAGCGTCCACCGCCACCACGATTACGGTTGAAGTCTCCACCCCTGTTACCGTAATAATCCCCACGATCACGGTCACCGTATCTCGAGGACGAATCTCTTCCGCCGGAATAATCGTCGCCACCACGGCCGCCGCGGTCGTAACCTCCACGGCCGGATTGATTATCGTTCTCAGGACCGCCACCACCGCCACCACCACCTCCTCGGCCACTTCTAAGCTGAGGTGGAACGTAACGCGTAGCGGTAGATTTCAAATTACCCGAATCTTGCTCGCACTGTTGCTGCTGCTGCAAGTCCAGACCAGCAAACTAAAAGGGAAGAGAGGAAAAAAAAAGAAATAACGTTAGACATCAGTCACGACAACGACCTTTAAAGCTGTATTCAGACATTAGCGTGCCCGTGCGCAGCGGAGCGGGAATTGCAGCAGTATGAATGAAACAATTATAGCTAGTTGACTCTCTCATACTGCTGCAAATACTGTTCCGCTCCGCTCATGCACGCTCTGGTCTGAATACGCCTTAAATGCTTCGAAACGAAAAGAAAGACGGCGTTAACGGTGACGATATTACTACCCAGTAACGTAGCTAGGGTTGTGCATCATATCTGGACAATGGTAAAACAACCCTGCAAAAGGTCGAATTTAACGTTTATCGGTTCTCTTCATCGATTTTATCTTGGAACCACCACGGTTAGTTCCACATACAGTTCGATGAAAGAACCTCACGGCGATATTGAAAAGACAGCTCTCGTCACTCACTCGAGATAAAAAAAACATTTTCATTTGTCAGTGATTAGCACGTGTAGTTTTTGTTGTCACTTAAATTTGCAACGAATTTTAATGAATTAAGCTAACGGAAAAAAAATAATGCAGCTAAAACCTAGTTCCAGTATTGTGTGATCTCAAATTGCAGCAAAATTTAATGCAACTTGTTTCAAAAAATCACAAAAATATATGGTGGTATTAAAAATTCTGTACCAGGGTGTAATCGAAAAAATGAAAATCGCGTAAATACAGAATTGAGCGTATTCTTAAGAATATTTTGCAGGAGGTTTGGCGAGTGGAAAAGCCTACTTGATGTCGAGGATTTCAGCATATCTTTTTTGAATTGTTCACCCCGCGTTTCAACTTGCCCCGCTGTACCTGACTCCGATTGTTTATTCTCTTTTAAAGAGAATAGGTAATTTGAAAGGTAGGGGAAATGGATGTAATGTCAGCCTTAATGCCACCTAATTTGGGCCCATACATAAATTCAAAAATCGACTAAATTTTCAATAGCGAACAAAAATATCCATTAGTACCGTCGCAATGACGCGTTTTTTTTTAGATAAAATTGATAAATCAAGATCAACAATTGAAATGGCCACAACTCCATTTTGTAAACAAACCTTGTAAGGCCATTTTCTCGCAAACCGAAACCTACATTCGCAAACCTAAACCACAATCGGGTAGAGGAGAGTTTCCCCATACCTGTTCATTCTGTTGGTTTCCATTGGCGGACTTCGGTTCGCGAGAAAATGGTCTGAAAGGTTTGTTTATTAAATGGAGTTGAGGCCTTTTCAATTGTTGGTTTTGAAATAGCAGATTTTAAGCGATGGGCTCAATCTTAGATCCATAGGCCATTTCCCCTATTGAATGGAACTTTCTTCATACTGCTGTTATACGCATAAGAGTCCCACGGTGCATAAGGATTGCATAGAACATGGGACAGTTATGCGTATAACGGCAGCATAGGTAATGACTCAATATAATTTTCAAATTTTGTATAGGGTAAGTTCACCAAGTTATGACACTACTTAAAATTTGCTCCAGTTTTGGCATGTACAGTCATGGCCAGACATGGAAAATCATTTGCATTCATTGTATAGAGCTTTTGTAGCTAATAACAAAACCTACAAAAGCTCTATACATTATTTTGCGGAATGCTGTTGATGAAAAAAGTTAGAGGAAAATGAATGTAAATGATTTTCCATGCCTGGTCAAGGCTTATGTGATTTAAATAGGCAGTGCGTATATGGGAGTGTGTAACAACTGGTATATTTGTCATAACTGGCTCAGTTCACTAATAAAATATGTATGGTTATTTTGCTTAATGACGTGTTCAGGGTATCATCCAGAACATCTGTGGAATAGTTTTATCATTTGGGTTATCCTTCGGGTGTGATATTTTTTATTAGGGTTGCCTTCATCAAAGTTCATCCAAAGTTACATTTCAGTGCTAACATTTGAAAACGGCACAAAAGCCATTTGTAAACAAATGGTTTGTGGGCCCTTTACTCACTACTTGAAGTACACCCACGCGACACAACAGCAACATCGGGTAGGGGAAATTTTCCCCTTCCTGACAATGCTGTTGGTTTGCGTGGGCGTTCTTCGGGTAGCGAGTAAAGGGCCCACAAACCATTTGTTTACAAATGGCTTTTGTGCCGTTTTCAAATGTTAGCACTGATTTTTCAAATTTTACTCTGACGAATCATGACTTATTTTCTAAGAATTGGTTAGGCCAAATTTTGATATGACAGTCGTAGTAGAACCCTTTTTCTATACCCAACGGGCCACTTAGAGGCTGTTTATTAACTTCGTAGAGAGTTTAGAAGGGGGGGGGGGGGGGGGGGTAGGTATTATCCACGACCCATACAAATTTTAAAAATTGTTTATGGACAATTCTATACAGAGCTGGAAAAAGGGCCTATCTGTTTTGATCGATTCTCTTCATCGACTTTCTCTTTCGTTAATACCTCGACAGTGAGCATGCATAAGGGCGTATACGCGATGATCGATTTTCATTATCTCTTCATCGATTTTCTCTTTGCATTGCTACAGCTAAGCGAAACAATTTTCTAGAATTTGTTTAATGCAGAGTTGTAACAGGTTGTATTGGCTATCAAAAGCAACATCAAACACATCGAGAAACGTTAAACAGGGTTGCCAGTGACTTTTCATTTTTAAATTCCCGGTTTTTGATATTCAACAAAAAACGAAATTTTACGCATTTTTTAAACGTGGCCAGCTGTAAATTTTCAGTGAATATTTGTGGGAACAATAAAAGCCAAATTACAGAAAGTGTTTTCTAAAGCTATATAGGAAAAATTCAACTCTATGAGTCTTAATGTATTCAAAACAATTTATTGATCTTTCGAGATACTTTGATAAATCGATATCTACCACTTTTTATGCTCGATACATCTTTTGATTTCAAAGCTCTAAAATTTATTGAGTTACAGAGATTAAGGTCACTAGGCCAAATGCTATCTGGATGAATAGATTATAAGACAGCTTGTGAATAGTAAGAGATTTAATTAATAAATGAACTTGATACAAATGAGAATTAGAGCAAATTGATCGTGATATCGGATAAAGAAAATGTGTATTCACTCCATTGTCTATACTAACATAAGATTTAGAGATGAACTAGCCAACGGTTAAAATTCTCTCTAATAAAAAAAACATAACCATTAACCTTTCAGTACTCGCGCTAAACACGAAAAAAATGTGAAACGTGCTGACGTTTGAGCTCGCTCAACGTGAAACTAAACATGGTTCATGAAATTTAATACCCACGACCAATAGACCAATACTTGAAAAAAAAATTACTGAAATATTATTTACTTAAAAAATAGATTCCCAACATTCTGGGGCTTTGAAATATGTGTAGAGTCTGAAAATAAAACTGTTCTTCAAGATTTGGGATTAATAACAATTTTCGTGATGCAAGATTTGGAGAAAAAATAGTTAAAATGTGAGGGTTTAAAAATTTTCCTAGATCACAGATTTGAAAAAAAAAATCATATTTATTAAATAGTCATGCAGTCTTAATTGTCAAGACTCTGAGACTTGGAAGCATTTTAAGGGTTAAAACAAATTACAGAACAATCGATAAAATCTTTGGACAAACCCTGGAGTTTTCAGTAAAATTTAAAAGTATTCAAAGTATTGATTTCAAAAAACTATTGAGGATGATTCCCACATAGTTTTCGAAGGAGAAGTTCTGAGCAGAATTCCAGAACTATTCTGACATGAAGTCCTTAGACATTGTTGGAAGAATTTGGAGGGATTTCTGTGGAGAAGATTGCAAGTTCTAAATTAAATTATTATGCAATTTTTTAAGAATAAGCCACACAGTTCTAAGAGTGTTCTGGCGATAATTTCAACCCTAGTGTGAAAGTTTCATCAAAGAGCTCCAACAAAATTTATTGCAAAAAAATTGCTAATAATTAGAAAAAAATCTTTAAATACTCCAAGGGGTTTCTAAATAATTCCAAATTTTAAAAGATTTATGCTGTTTTGAATAGAGCTGCAAGATTTTTTTTAAAGGATTTCAATGAAATCAAAGTCTCCGAATAGGTTCAAGGGAATTCTAAGACGGATTTCAAACAATTTCTTAGAAGGAGTTTCAAGGAAATTCCAAAAAGAATTCAACGGTAACTATTACGCAGAGTGTTTTATGGTTAATTTTGGAAAAATTCAGAGCAGAATTCCAAGCTCAATCTGAAATTCATATCATGAGAATTTTGAATAAAATTAAAACCCGAATAGTTCAGTTTCAGTTTGTACAAATATACGCTTCTTAAGTCCAGCATTTTCAATATTTTGTTTTAAGACCCATGCACTTTACATCCTAAATTGAATCGCAAAAATCAATTTGAAATATTGCTGAGTGATTAAATGCTAAAAACATCTGAATCTGGAATCTGAAGAAAATTAAGCAACAAATAGAGAAAGACATTCATTTGGTAAAAAATCACTCTGTTTTAATGGTTTATTCTGAAATTCTGGTGTGAAAATTTATTCATATGGTATGGTTAATTTATTTTTCCCGGTTCTCTCATCGAATTTCCGGGTTGTTCCTGGTTTTCCCGATTACTTTTCAAATTCCCGGATATTTCCTGGTTTGCTGGCCACCCTGGTTAAATCTAGCGAGTTATTAACAAAAGAGAAAATCGACGAAGAGAATCGATCATCGCGTTTACGCCCTTATGCATGCTCACTGTGGAACTCAGCTGCAACAACATTTCCTGTTGTATTTGACGATTTGGAAGATAGATAAAAACCTCCTTTATCATGCTATGTGGCAAAAATAGCAATAACACTGTTTGCATAGCCGTGGTTATTTAAAGAGAAAGTCGATGAAGAATGCAAAATGATCGGTCAAAGCAGATAGGCCCTTTTTCCAGCTCTGTATAGAATTGTCTACGCAGGGGGAGGCCGACCTAATTCTGACAAAATCAGTCATGATTATTCAGTGTAAATTTTGAAATTTTTTGTAACTTTCGGTGAACAGTATACAAAATCTGGAAAATAAATTGAGCC